AAACTCGGCTTAGAGCAAGGCAAAATGCGATAAAATAATTCTAAAAAATTGAAAATTTTGATTTTTACCTGAGCACGGCGACGTCCATGACGGGAGTCGACGAGGCAACGAATGGATCGTTGGGATTACACACCGAGGCACGTAACGCTTCGGCACCACGCCCAAAATTTGGAAAACTTTGCCTTTGGAAACATTTTGCCTTATTAATCTTACTTTTTCTTGGAAGTTTTTGTCTTTGAGCAGTTCTCGGCTGGAGATGATAGGTGTGGAAGACGTTTACGCAACATTCTACGTTAAACTGACTTTACCCTATAAAATAGCCGATCGTCGGTCGGTAGCGCAAAAATTAAATTTGAACAAAAAAGCAAGATGTGGAAACGACAATACTATTCAATGGGAACATAGGGCTTGAAATTTTCTTCAAAAAACCAGTGAAAAAAGCTTAGGTAACAATTTTTTTCATAAATCGTTTCAAAATATATCTGTAATACTATCTTGGCTATTACAAATTCTATCGCCAAAAAATCAAAAATTGAGGAAGAGAACTCCAGAAACTTCTATTAGAGACATAGCACCAAATTATTATAGAAAATCAAAAGGTTTTGATTTTTGATCATTTTTAGAGGCCAAAAATAGGACCAAACCTCCGAAAAACACGATTTTCTGTCCTTAATATTTTATCGTCCCGTTATAATTTTTGTTTTGTGTACAGTTAGTAAACCGTAATATCAAAAAAGCATAATACATCAAACTTATTCATCATACTTCAGTAATTTCATTTTTCTGAAGGGCTTAGGTTTTATTTAGTAGTTGAAAAATAAAGTCTATATGAGTCTATAAAAATCAAAATAACATAGTCTACCCAAAAATTCGAAAAAAAAACAAAAGGAATCAAGTTGACTAAAAGTAAACGCACTTCTAATCACAATTCACTTCGAACACCGTCAGGAACTAAGCTTAAGCAGATCTGACAAATTGACTACAGCAGCAGAACAGCTCGAGTCAGTCAGCACTGAAGTGATAATGACAAAAGCGCTACCGTCTAGCATTTTATTGCCCATAACGCGTGCATGTGG